GGGGGGGGGGGATAGGGGAATAGAGAAGGGGGATGTTATACTAAGAGGGGGGCGTAGGAGGGCACACCCACGGACTTGTAGTCTAGAGGACTTATAATTATACTATACGAGATATTTCAGAATAACCCGAGTTTACTATCTAGGTAGCTCTACCTACCTAGGTAATATCAAGTAACTTTTACTATTTACGATTTACGATTTAGTCATCTGGTTTAGTAGTAGATTCGGGATGCCGTAAGAGGGGAGGGGGAGGGAGGTGGTAGGTGGATAAGGATAGTGAAGTATTTTTACTTTTATGATTGTATGTGGTTTTTGTAGAGGGGGGTGTGAGAGGGGAGGGGAAGGGAGGGGAGGGAAGGAGATAGGGTAAGTGAGGGAGGGGAAAGAAAGAGGGGAGGGGGAGGTATATATCCTACCTTACTACTAGAATACTACATTCCTTTATTAACACTACTACTGTCGGTATATCCACTCCTGGGGGGATATCCGAGGTCAGTCACGTGAGACATGAGACTGTCTAAGACACTATATAACACTATACGATGTATCCTTAGCTAGTAATACACACTCTTTTAAAAACCTTATACAAATATAAACCAAATATACTATCCTATATTACCTTACTATTATAGTAAAACTAATACTAATTAGCATTATACGCGTATAGATTAAAGGCTATAAGTACTATCTAACGATTCTTTATAAAGATCCGCGGGGTATAAACGGACTTTTATATTTAAATAATATATTATTTAATACTCTATTATAGGGTAAAGCCTATACTATTATCCTTAACTAAATAGCTACTAGATTTCCTTTACTAGCTTAGCTAGAAACCCTAAGAACTAGGCCCTTGAATTCTAACTATACTATACTCCTCTTAATAACTCTATAATATCGGCTTTCTTGTTTTTATATAAACGGGCGAAAATAGTAATGTAACGAATACTCAAACTGGCTAACTAAACTTGGCTGGGTGTTCGCTGGTTGGTATGCTATGATAAGAAGAAGACTATCGGGTTGTTCACTTGGAAGTGAACTCGTTACTTGTATCAAAGATGTCAAACTAATATGATAAGATTGATAACTAAGTTGAGCACGAAGCTCCTATCTAAATGGCAGACGTGCCAGTCTTATATAGAACCTTCGTTCTCTGTCTAATCGCTTTAGTCGCTTGCCTCAGTCGCTTCAGTCGACAGGCGACTCAGGCGACTGAAGCGATCATGGTCACGTGGTACTTTAATCCGACGAAATCCATGGATCGCTTAGCTAGCCTAAGGATCCCCTTCTGCTATAAGAGTTATGATAATGCTCGACCTGTCAGGGCGCCGCCTGGTCTTCACTATCTCCCGTGGTAACACGTGATTCGTGACACGTAACTAGGGAATCTTCTACCGCGAAAATACTACTACTACCTCCCCTTAGGCCTTCTCTTAACCTAGATCCTTAAGATACTTAAGTATAATAAGTATAGAGCCTAGAGACCTATATAGAAGAGAGAGTTAAAGAGTATAAGAGAATAATAAAGGATAGAGAACAACTTTTTAATATCTTCGATAACAACTTCGAAGGATATGATATAAATATATTTAGGTTAAAGTTAATTAGTAAGAAGTCATATATTAAGAATATATAGAAAGTACTATTTAATAAAGGCGTTAAGTTAAAGATACTAGATAAGGCGGGTAATTAAATACTGTGACGGAGCTGGATTTCATTTGACAGGATTTCATTCGCTTGGCCAAGCACGTGACGAGACTTGGCATTGGAACAACTTAAATAACTTCGCTCCTTTCAGATTCTCTTCTCTCTTTATTTTTATTTCTTCGTACCTACGGTTTTAGTTCTAGCAATTGATTCAAAAGCTGTATACACTTTATCCTTTGTTGGCATCCGTGACAAGCCTTGGAGTTATACGATTTAAGTAATAGATTTAATATAGCGATATTAGTAAAGATAATAATATATAAGATACTTCTTAACAATACTATTCTACTCGAAGTTTATATAGATTCAAAGTCTCTATACGATTGTATTACTAAACTAAGTATAACTAAGGAAAAGAGGCTTATAGTAGATCTTTTAGTACGTCGAGAGGGGTTCGAAAGGTAAGAAATCGACTATTTACTATAGGTTAACATAAACTCGAACCCGTCTAACGTAATAACTAAATCGAAATACAACAACGTACTTAAACTACTTATTAATACTAATAAGATCTATTATTCGCTAACAAATAGGTAGAGAGAACTACGAAAAAGGAGGAAATAGCTAAAAAGAAGATAGATTAATGATTTATATTTTTCCTTAATTTAATTTTATACGTACTAGTGTTAGTATATCTACTCCTAGGGGAATATCCAAGGTTAGTTACGTAAGACGTGAGATTATCTAAGACACTATATAACACTATACGATATATCCTTAGCTAGTAACACACACTCTTTTAGAACCCTCATACAAATATAAAATAAATATGCTATCCCGTATCACCTCACTATTGTAGTGAAACCAACAACTACTATATCTACTATATTATTAGCTATACTATTATAAGCTCTTTTGTCCCACCCACATACCCCTCGCGAATAGCTCTCCGAGTTTTAGAGGGTTTAATATGTTGTCTGGTTCTTATTAGAGCGTTTGGTACTTCTTTGTCTATCTGGTAGAAGTTATCGCCCTACTCTATACTTTGTATTTTACTAGAGTTTATTTATATGGTCAAATTCCGAGTACGAGGACGTGGCGTGTAACACCTTTTTGGAACTTCGTGTTCTTTCTTTCACAGGCTATATATATACCTATTTATAAACTGTGTGCTTATTTTTTAGATAGTTACTAATTTTGTATAGGACGTAAGGCTAAGGATGCTTATACCTCGCTTTCCACTTCTCTATACTCGAGTATAGGCGAATTATAAGCTCTTGAAGCTAGCCATCAAAATACAAAAGAAAACCCAACATTAAGCCTCATTTGATGTGACGTGTACAGACTGGCGAATGAACATAAATTGTATATGGAATAGGAAGTTAAGGACGAGAGATCGAAGAAGTAAGTACTATATAGTAGATTCTTAGGATTAGAGTAAGAGGTTTGTATATGAGAAAGAAAAGAAAGAGAGAGGATAGATGGTTTTAAGAGTTTAAAATACTCGCTACTAGCTTACTTATAGATTCTATAAGTTAATATTAACTGAAATCTTAACATTTAAGAGCACTGAGTGATATTGTTATGTTCTAGATCTATGAAGAAAGGAGATAGAAACAACTTTAAACGAGGTCTTTGCGAAGTTTAGTGAAAGCATCAGGTTTCTATATAAGTAAATAAGCGAAGAACTAAAAGACTCAAGAGTAAAGCACTCCTACTAGAATATCAAATCACAAAAAGCCCATCAATCCATCCCATAAAATCCCCTTTTCCCCCTCCCTTCCCCACCAACTCCCCTCCCACCAACCCCTACCTCAAAACCAAAAACCCCCCATTCCCAACCTCCACAAACCTCGCTCCTCCCCCCACCCCATCCCCCACC